CAATTTTTAAATTACAATAAAAGCTACCTAAATCGGAATTTACCCGGTATAGCCTAATATGTAGTTAAATTAACTATTGAACTTTAAATTAAATTAAAACTTGATCCAAAAAAATATACAGGGTGAGATAAAATTAATATTGAACATTGGTCACCTTTAAAAGCATATTACTCTTTTATTTTAAATAGAACAGCCAGTATATTATTCCGATATCCAATGGAGAATTCATGTCTCTTCAAAATACTAAGGTTGCCTACCCCTCAAACAAAGATTTTCCTAGATATTTTTATTTACATGATTTAATCTGAGTAGATCTTTATTATTTGATAGAATCTAGGTGGCTGTGATATGTCTGACGTTACTTCAACATAGTCGTCTAATTAGTCCAACTTCAACAACTAGTTATCATTTTGTGTCAGTTAAAAAAAATTCTCAGAAATTTGCCGAAAATGCAAACTTATTCTACATCAGAGAGAATTGATATTTCTCTGTTAGTTGGTGAATGCAGTGTGCCCCAAACCAAACCTATTAATAGAATACTTAAATGCTGCTGATTTTATCTAGTCTTAGTCTAGAGTTTTTTTATGGGGATATGTTAAAGACAGTGTTTACAAAAATCGACCAACTATTGTCGACAACATGAGAGAAATTATTGTAGCTGCTCTTCGAGGTAGAACTCCACATATGCTTTTTTAAACGAAAAGATCCTTTTGAAAAGACTTTATGCAGTTAACAGGAAAGGAAGCATTTTGAGCATTTGATATCATCTAGCTAATTTTTGTCATAATTATAGGTTTATATCTAGTTTTAATTCTGTAATAATTAAAATATGTTTCAAACGTGTATCTTTTTATTACCGTTGAGTATTTTACTCTACAACCTTTAATTTTTATTAAATTAATAAAAGGTATATCGCACAGCCACCCTAGATTTTGTCAAATAATAAAGATCTACTGACGCAAAATCATAAAAATTAAAATATCTAGGAAAATCTTTGTCTGAGGGGTAGGCAAACTTAATGATATTTTGAAGATATATAAATACCCCATTGAACACCGAAAAAATATGCTGGGTGTTCCATTTAAAATAAAGTAGTAACTTGCTTTCGGGTCAATTTGCAATTTGGTTTAACATACAATAGTTACTGTAATTAAATATCAGCCTATACAAGGTCAACTAAAATTTAGGTAGCTGTTATCGAAATTTAAATTTTACTCTTCATTTTCACAAAATGTGAAATTTGTCAAAATCCTTACATTTTACGTATATGCTTCTTTAATAAAACTCACCTTTATTTTTTAGCTAGAATCCGAAAATCAATTAATATATATGGTGTTTCATTAGAAAAAACACAACTTTGATGTGTAACTTTTTTTGGGGACACCCTGTATAATTCTATATATTTTTATAAAATGCTTTCAGTTAACCTACATATGCTGCCAAAATTTCATTTCGATACAAACTACCGTTTTGCTTGGAGTTTCGGCCGCGGCGCCAGCGTATGAGAGGCGCCACCTTGTATATTTGAAGGAATAATAGTATAATGTTTTGTTAGGAGTAAAAAGTCTGGAGCTCAATTTTTATCAAAAACATGATGGTGAAAACCGCATGTCGATATCTGTTACCGTTTCGAAGTTACGGGGTGTTTTTCAAAAATGTGCATTTTTAACAAATCGCTGTAAGTTTTTGCTATGGAAAATTTTGTATTTTTTTGAAAACATTAAGTTTAAGTATAATTTTTTTAAATTAATAATTTAAGAGTTATCAACAGAAAAAAAATATTTTTTTATTTGAGACACCCTATATATTTTTAATTAATCGAAAATAATTTAAAATTACCTTTCCAAAATATAGTAATATAGCACACTTAATATTTTGTTATAGCTCCTTTTGAAATACAGAATTTTTAAAACTTTACCAGTTTTAATTAGTAACACAGAATATCTAGCTAATAATAATGCGTAGCTAGATATTCTGTGCTAGTAGGCTTTGGACCTCTTATTGTTGATCTGCCCCTAATAGAAGTCGAAAACATATTTTTCTAGCAGACGAGGCTATGGATTTTTTAGTCCTATGGATTTTTCTTTGCGGAAGAATAAATAAATGTTCTTATTTTTAAATTGCCTGTTTAATCTAGACAAGAATTAGAAGTACTTAGCGGTTATGCGAGGGTATCTTTCACTCCCACTGAGTTAATGAATTCCGCCAGAAATGTTCAAAAACGGTCCCGTCTGTCCATAACAAAAGACGGTCGACATGTCGAACACAATTATTAAAAATTAAAAAATCTATATCTCGAAGAGGAATGGAGCAAAATATCAAGCATTCTATATTTCTGAAAAGGTAATTTTAAATCCTTTTCAATGAATTAAAAATATACAGTGTCCCATATAAAAAATCAAATTTTCTGTATAATTCTTAAGTTATTAATTTTAAAAAATTTATAATTAATCCATTAAATTTAACGTAAAAAGGTGCTTTAGAAATGTTTTCATAAAAATACAAAATTTTCCATAGCAAAAAAGTTACAGCGATTTGTTAAAAATGCACATTTTTTGAAAAACACCCCGTAACTCATAAACGGTAACAGATATCGATGTGCGGTTTTCATCATCATGTTTTTGATAAAAATTGAGCTCCAGACACCGATACATATTAGTTTTTGTCTATCTCTAATAGAAAAGGGCGTTCCCTTTAAAAGCGTCCAATTTGACCCACCCTGGACATTAACAAACAATCAAATACAAATATAAAAATAATCTGTGTTTGGTTCGGTTGAAAAAAGTTGATAGGCAGTTCTTTTAGTTTCAAAGTAAAGGAATTTTTCCAATTTTGGTCCGCAGTTATTTCCCCTATCCGCCACCTGGGGTCGCGTCCGATGGGAGTTTGGAGTTCTCCACACGGATTTTCTCAAAAACGGACTACGGAAACACGGAATATCTCAAAAACTGCGACTTTGACTGATTTTGATGTTATTACAAATTTTGTTGCAAATATTATTCCTAATCTTAAATTGAAAACCGCGTTTCGTTAACTACTGTAATTTTGGAGTTACAATTTTTTTAAATTTTTAACCCCCTCCCATACCCCTTTACCAACCCTCCACCCCACCAAAAACTAATGGCCAGATTCTCGGGTGCCACAGTATTTTTGTGCCAAATTTGGTTAAAATCGGTTAAGCGGTTTTTGAGTTATCGTGTTACAGACAGACACCATGAAAATATTTTTATTTAGGTCATTTATGACCCAAATAACTCATTCTGAGTGAAATTTAAAAAAAAATTGCCGATCTTAATAGCCTACCATACCTGTGGGTATGGTCAGCTAAAAATTGTCACCTTCCTCCTTCCTTTTGTTCTCAGCAGTTTTTTGTTGTTTTAAGGTCGTTTAAGAAATAAAGTAATTGGTATTATACTCCAACGGAACTCCATTTGTGTTGTTCCTTTCTGTCTCTAAATAATAATTATTAATTATAAATATAATTGGCCGTGTTGACGATCTGTCTGGTAACTGAACTAAAAACGATTTTTAATAACAATAATAATAATTCTTGACGTTTATGAAGTTGAAATTCAGTTTCACCGCGAATATAGTGATAATATAATAATTCCGAAACCATTAAACCTTATATTCATGTGTAAATAAGTGCTTAATATGCGTTAATAATGAAAAGGTACGTAAATGGTAATCGGATGTTTAGATTAAAACAAATAGAAAGTAGGAGAAGAAAACAATTATTTCTAATTAAGATAGTATGTAATGATAATTATAATTACACATAGAAAAACTGCCACTTTGACTGATTTTGATGTTATTACAAATTTTGTTGCCAATATTATTCCTAATCTTAAATTGAAAACCGCGTTTCGTTAACTACTGTAATTTTGGAGTTACGATTTTTTAAAATTGTTAACCCCCTCCCACACTCCCTTACCAACCCCCCTCCCCCACCAAAAACTAATGGCCAGATTCTCGGGTGCCACAGTATTTTTGTGCCAAATTTGGTTAAAATCTTTTTAGATCCTTTATTAAGGATCCTTTAACTTTAAAGATTTAGCGGTTTTTGAGTTATCGTGTTACAGACAGACGGACAGACAGACACCATGAAAATATTTTGTATTTAGGTCATTTATGACCCAAATAACTAATTTTGAGTGATATTAAAAACACTTTTTTTGCCGATCTTAATAGGAGGAATCTGTTACTGTTAGATCTAAAAAGGAGGAATCTGTTAGTATTTTTATATCACATTGGCTAATCGCCGAGACGATTGCGAATTTTCAAGGCACTAGCGATTTGTTTAAAATGCACTGTACCTATGTATAGGGAAATTAAAATAACTTTGATTGCACATCATAATACGACCACCAGCAAACTCCATAAGACGACGCATGGTGTCATTGATGACGTGCAACGAAAGTTGTTTTATGATACCAATTAAACTTTTAGTTACTTAATCGAGGACGCGATTTTTAAATTCACTGTTGCCAACTATGGCAAATATTCGTTGCCGAGCTGACTAACTGGAATTTAAATTTCCCGCTGGGGATTCAGGTGGTAGCTCTGCTGAAAAAAATTTTAAATTGTCACATTTTTGTATGCATTTCCTGACGTTATCATTTGTTTTAACACTAGTTTTGTATTATGAGTTTTTGGTTTAAATGAATTGATATTTTAAGCTTAAACATTTTTACTAGCAGACCTTGCACCGCCAGATCATTACTGTTTTAAGTCCTTTATTTCGAATTTATTTCGAAATGATAATAATAATAACTAATAACCTTTATTTTTGCATTTCAATTAGGTGTTCAAAAAGTTTAACGTTCGTTGCTTTCTAATTTTGCATCCAACATGTCAAAAGTGTTTTGTATGCCAAAAAAATTTAGTTGTAGGGAAAAACAATAACACATAAAATTAAAAAAAAAGTTTGTGTTTTTTAAAAAAGTATACCGGCCCAACGGCTTAATGATATTCTTCCATTCGTCACACTATATACTAACCTGTCATGGTGGCCGGCGTGGAATTTGCCGACTGCTGCTGGTGAAGTTTGGATCGCAGATTGGGAAAGGTGTCCATGACGAGGTCGCGGAACTCAAGCAACGCGCCGACCTCGTTCTGCAACTCCTGCAGCGCCACGAGCGACTTGGCCTGCTCGCTGATGAGGTAGTGGAAGGGCCCGGCCGGCTGGTGAGGGCGCCCTCCCAGGCACTCCACGCCATGGCCCACGCCCACGTGGTCCACGGCCTCCGATTCCTGCAACCAAAAGAACAAACCATATAGTTAAATCAAATTTAAAAAAACTATATTTAAATTTAAATCAGAAATACAATCTTGTAGTAAAATTGCCTGTCTCTAGACATATTCACAAAACTTGTGTGAATTTACCACAATATATTTAGTAAAACATGACGCCATATCACGTGACTTCTTGTGAAATTGATGCGAACTAAGTAATCGATTGAAAAAGTAATTAGAGGAAAGACAAAGAACATTTTAATCTAAGCAGTTTTTTGAACAGGGAGTCTCTCTCTCAGTGCATGGGTGATTAGTGTTTTTATAATTTAAGGAAAGTATATTAATTACGTTTATATGTAGTTTCTGTAAATATAAAGCCAGTTCTCTTAGAAAACACAATCTCCATTTATTATAATTACTTGCATTTTACTTTTAGCGATTTTTTATGTAAACATAATTGTTCCATGATCTCTCTATATTCTCCGAAATCCCGGGGAATATAGAGTGGAACAGGAACTGCCCCAGTGCAAACTTTTAGAAAAAGTAAAGTATACCTAATATATAACATATCGACTTGGAGCCTGCAATTTTTCCTAAGTGCTGATAGACCAATTTTGAGGGAAAGCAAATAAGTATTTGTTTTTTTAATCTTCCATGTTATATTTTGCATTTATGGATATTTTTTATTATTGCTATTTTTACTTGAAAAAAAACAGATTAAATAACTTACATTATTTTTATTTTATGCTTTTATTAGGAGTTAAATTATAATAGAATGTTTCGACTTGACAATTTCAGTTAGGCGATTTGCAGGATATGAGTCGATATGCACCCAAAACCCTGCACTTCTTTGTGTCTCAAGTTCAAAGACATAATAACATTAAATTGGCCACAACCTAAAAAACGTTAGACGATATGGATATTTGAAATGGTGAAGATCTGGAAAACTCAGTTGTGCTGTTCCAACGCAACAGTGCAAAATCTAATGAGACTTGGGATGCACTGCTCATTTACGTTAGTGGGCTGGATTAGACACATATTCACACATGATTCACACATCTTTCACATTAGACTCGCTAAACGCGAATTCCCTTCTGTCCGTCTCACTAAAGTAGTCTGATTGTTACTGGTACTGAAGAAATAATAAAACACGTTTTTAGTGAAAATTATCAGCATATTCATACTTTCAGTGATAGTGAAAGCTACTTGTGATCATTTTGGCAGAACAATGAAAACAAATTGAACTGGGAGAACAAATTTTGTTTTTTCAGTTTTCCAAGTTTTGAAGAAATATTGAAAGAATTGGTTCCCACAATTATTCACTAGCACTCCATTTATTTCTGCGTAATAGTCACTGCCTGACTCACCATCTACAACATTTTCGTGGTTTTTGATACATCAGAATATTTCATCTCATATGCTAATTCTGAACATTCTGAACTTCTCGGTTGTAATTTTGACATTCTATGTTTACGAGATCAACAAAAGATGTCTACACTAACTGAAACTCAAAAATGAATTGCAAAATGAAACGTGAACACAAGCACCGTTTTCCGTCTTTCAGTTACACATTCAGTGTAGAATTTCATTAGTGTAGTCATTCAGTGAATTAGTAAGACCACTTCAGCAAGACTGACAACTCTCCTTCCTTAATCAGTAATTGAAATGTAATATTTACCTGAAAGATGATTGACGAATATGACAATACTTTAATACGTAATGACTTGTACAAACTGAGATAAACTAAATATTGATATCACCTAACACTTTATTAATATTAAATAAAAACCTACTGTAATAGCTTTCTAGCTTCATCTACGTATCTTCTCAAATAGTTTTATACTACATACTGCTTGCTGCAAAAGCTGAATATAAAATGAAGCCATATATTTTCAGAGGTCGTTAATTAAGTAAATAACAAGATAAAATTCTCCTTTCGATTCCCTATTGCAGGCCAATCAGTCGTAAATGATAAATACGTACGTAATTATTGTTAAAAGTAGGTAAGTATATTTTTGAAATGATGTTTTATGGTTATCTCTTCGACAAAATTGTTACGGAAGATTAGATATGAGATAAAGCGGACTAGATAACGCAGGTAAATCAATAAATAAATAATATTTATAAGAAGAATTTAGCAACATATTTCAATATTTACCATTGTAATCGATTACAAAGAGAGGTTAAAGAGTTTAGGATTATCGGTAAAGTAAATATACTGTATGATCGACAGAAAACGTCACGATACGTCTAGAAATAATTCATTTGAAGATTTATATCGGTTTTCTTGATAGTGACATCCCAGATATGCATGAATTTCTTGTACTTTTAAAGCTGTACTCCGATTCTTACCTTGGTTATGGTTTTCTGTTTCGTGTCGTTAACAAAAAGTTACCCTAGATGAACCCATTTTTAGCCTTGAATTAAAATAATAATAATTTTGAAGCCATTTTTAACCCGAGAGAAATAGCATTTTATCAGTGTATGATATTGTATACTAGGTGGTTGGGAACATAGGAAATCTGATGCAAATTTTGAATTGTCCAAATATTAGCTCCCTTGTTGAGTTAAAGCGAAGTCGTAAATTATTTTTTTAAAGATCTGGGTACTATGCTGAAAACACATGTCAAATTTGAACAATTTTGGACAAGCCGATTTTGAGTAATTTTAGAGTTAAATTAAAACTGAACAGATTACAATGCAAAAAAAGGCAAATGTGAACATACCTTAAACTGTCAACCTATGATTGAATGCAATTTGTTGTACTGTCTACGCTATGTTATAGTACCTACGGATCTTGGTCCGATATGCATTTTTGTAATTTAATATTTGTTCAAATTAAAGAAAAGACTATATAAAGTTTAGGAAATACCTATAATTTGGCATTGACAAAATTATAAGTTGACAAGTTAAGGTATGTTGGCATTTATCTGGTTTTGAATTGTTACCTGTTCAGTTTTAATGTTTTAAAATAGATGCAGTTTTTAAATTAGTTAAAAACGGCTTGCCCAAAATTGTCCAAATTAGACAAGTGTTTTCAGGATGTCCACACCTTCAAATTTGATGTTTATGATTTTGTTGTAAAATCAATAGGGGAGAAAATATTTGAACAGTTGCATGGGATTTTCATTTTACCCGGTATACAACAATTTTTAATTAATTCTGATAAGGTTACGTGACAGATCTCAGGGAGATAAGTAAATATAGAGTATTCCCATATGACAATCAATGTACCTACTGAATATATGTAACAAAAAATTCAGGTTATATTAAAAAAAATATTGGAAGAATCGAATAATTTTATCTCGGAGAGTACTTACTGCAAAATAGGAAAGTTAATAATGTTTTAGAAAGTCTTCCTAACAAAGATATTTTAATTTACAGGTTAAAATATTAAAAGTTTTTCAAACAAAATTATATTAAGAAAAATAAATTATTGTAAGAATATTTATGATACGCTTTTACAAAAATAATTTGTATTGTATTATTTAGTAGATGACCAAGATGACTTCGTGAATTTTTCAATATATAAGCGCAGCAAAAAGAGAGGTCGCCTAAATTTATTATACCCTGATACGACATTTGAATTTGACCTAGATCTAGTTTCTTATTCGGCAATGCAGATCGCATGTTAGGATCTCATTTGTTCTACAAAATACATTTCATTTACATGGCAAGATTAACTGCATTTTTATCAGCTTATTTTATAAATATTAAATATTATCCGTTCGTTCCAACAAATTTGTAACCTGCTGCAAAGGTAATTGGGCTCGCCGGAATTTGATTTGTACGCATGTGTGAACTTGGACTTAAATGCGGGTGGAAACAGTTTGTGAACTTTACAATTATTATTAATATAGGTTAGATATATTTTCGATAAAAAATTACGAAATTTGTATGTCACTGGATTTAAATTACGAAATGGAAGAATTGTGGTAGTTCAGTGTATGTATCCACAGACTCAACATCACTGTCCTCTTCCTCGCTCATCTTACTTAGTACAAAAATACAGAAATCGGTATTTAAGGCATATGATTTACGAAATATCCTATGTATCAAAAATGACGAAAATGATGGGCCAGGCAGTGGGTATTATACAGAAATAATGGGATGCTAGTGAAAAAACTAATTTTTTCAATGTAGGATTGAAGTTTTGGAAGTCAATTCTAGCAATATTTTCTGAAAATTTCGAAAACTGAAAGAAAAAAATACGTTTTCGCGTTTCAGATTGTATTCATTGTTGAGCTAAAATGAACAAAAGTAAGAACTAGCTCTCAATTTTAAAACGTGTTCTTACGTTCATCATTTGTTCAGTCCCACTATACCGGGTGTTTCTGAAAAGTGGCTCCCCCTATAACTATTATACTTTTTCAGATAAATAAACGAAATTTGGTACGTTAGTACACGACATAAATCAGGATTGATTAATGTATTCAATTATCACTCCTGTCTCCTCTTCCGGAAATAACTACAACTTTTGATTTTTAAATGGCACCCTCGCCTCGTATTTTATTAATTTATTCGATATAAAATGACTGAATAGAATGACAAATGGATATGTCAACTTTTGGCATCTTCGCTTAAAAAAATCGTATTTTAAATTTCAATAGTGCACCATGGCTGTGTTAAAAACACTAATTGTTAATCAAGGAGCCTTGGAAAAACATATTTGATCGTCTAGTGTTTTTCGTGTCTTGTCCTGGTCGGTTAAGAGAGGCCCAATCGTATTTTTAATCATAACTAAATTTTCTCAAATAGAACGAGGGTGGCTCATTAGCATATTTGGAAAAAGCATTTTTTACGAATAATTTGGTACCACAGACTTGTCAGATGTCAAATGTCAATCTATTGAGAATGTGTTCCCCCATGGTTAGTGATGTTGGTTGCGAATATTTCCATTCGAATTTTGCAGGAAATTTCAGAAATTTCCGAAATATTCGGTCCCAAAATCGCGAATATTCGCAAAAATCCGAATTTTGCAAGAAATTTCTTTTCAAAATTCAAGACATTGAGCAAAA